TATGGCATAATTATCCTCAGCAAACATCTGCCCTTCATGCTCACTTACAGTTACCCTTCAGGTTGATTTTTTCTCCCCTTTCCTTAAAAAACAGCGACTGCAGTAGAGGCTCTCCATTCATGCGATACCATCCCCGGGCTGGACACTGGAACAGCTTCTTTCCGTTAGATCTGAACAATTAACAATTCCAGGAGAGCGATCACTCGGTTTCTATAACTTGCGCGCACTTTTTTTCACTTCCAAGTTGCTAGGTTATTTCTGTTTTTCTCAGTGTATCTCCCTCTCCACCCCGCCCACCAATGTTGAACATCACTGTCTTTATTAGGAGCAAGCAGCAAGGTGCTGGGTGTAGTTTTGCAATCAAGTCTGGATCTCTACCACACAGTCGTTTCATGTTAATTTTTTCCTCTTACTTGCACTTTTAAAAACTTCTGCAGTTATTTTAATCTCTTTGAAAGATAGCTGGCTGATAGCATTTCTTAACTCTACCCTGACACTTCTTCTCATTTTTAGTAAGTCAAAACAAACAGCTTTTCTTGTTCAGCAGCCTTTTCTATTTCTTGTTGTTCTGCTATTTCCTATTCTTCTTCTTGCAGTGCTAATTATCCTACAGCTGATTTCCTCTGGCTTAGGATACAGATCTCTGATAATTTTAACATGGTCTAATAGCAGGATTTTATGGTGGAGTCTGAAATATCTTATTCAAACCTGTGAGCGCCTCAGTGAAATTAAGTTGTCGCTAGCTAGCAATGATAAGGACTAATTTCATTTTTAAAATGAAGAACTTCCATTTACAGAGTCTGAGAACTTCAGTTCAAACTGAAATCAGGACTAGATCTCTTAAGATGAGGTTTTTTTCAATGACTACCTCAGATAGGCGTTGAACTTCTCCCAAAAGCCAACTCTAACGTAGAACTACTTTGTGTTGGCTCTATAGCCATTGTGCCGAAAACCTCTTCAGCCCTTGCATCCAACAGTAACTGGGCTATAGCTTCTTGCTCCCTCTTGCTGGCCACGACTGCAAATTTTCTTCCCCTGACTGTGCGCCAGAGATACTTTATTCTACGTACAGAACTTACCTGGCTATAAGAAGAAGATAGGTTAGTAAAGAGATAAGAAGAGATTCTGCTGTCCACCTCTGCCCGTCCTAGATCTCTTCCTAAAGCAAGGAGAAAGCTGAGCTGCTGAAAACTTCTCAAAGCTTAGTTAACAGGGCCAATTCTTTAAAATAAATGAGTAAATTAAAAAAATGCTGCCTTTCAGCGTGGCTGATGCATATTGCAGAACCAACCAGGCACGGAGTCTTTGGAAAAGCATAATGGCAGGGAGATCCTGGTGAATATCTAACCTGCAGATGCCCCTCATCATCAAATAGAAACAAATAGTTACCATAGCATTCAATGACCAGAAGAAACTACTTGCAGTTTATCTGTTTAAGGATCAGATAAAGATCAGACTCGATCAACTAGCCTGTTGATCTGGGCTGGGGTTTATTTGGTGCACTAATTCAGAAAGCATGGAGCTAGACAGCTGGGACAGCACCCTGTCACTAAAGCCTGGTTTTGCCTTTAAAGATGCAGATTATTTGTACCAAATGCCAGAAAGTCACGCCACAGAAAAACCACTGCTCAGAGCCAGGTAAACCCAAAAAAATAGCCCTCAGGGTGGAGTGTGCTGGAGAATACAACCAAAAACCCTGGCCTAAGGAGTACAAGACTGAAACAGAGAAGCCAAAAAGGCCCATTAGCCTGCCGCTGGGACAGTGTTAATCGTGCCTGCAGGCTTCAGGACACAGCAGGAAGAAACAACATGCCGAGCAGAATCTGATACCTCATTATAGAACATGGAAAACCAGGATGAAAGAGATTTAAATACTTACTTTGTTACACCAAGTGACCTCTGTATCGTGCTACGGGAGACCCAAGCGCACAAGATCACAGCGTAGTCACAGGTCTCAAAGCATGCCCTGATAGTGCCTGGTGTGTCTCCCAACGCACTCTGCTCAGGCTACCCGAAGCAGACAAAAAAGAAAGCCAAAGTATTACTTTTTTTTTCTGAACAGTGGTCTGTTAAGAATGCTCAAAGGCTTCCTTTTGGCAGATTACCAGCTGTATGTAATTTTCTCATTCTTCCTCTCCCAAACAATCTTTTTGTCCAAGAAGTATTAATGAGTAGGAAAGGACATGCCTTTAATATTAAAAAAAATCCCAAACCATAGCAGCCCATCAGTCTTTAAAGCTTCCTACAAAATGTCTTGCCTGAACATGGTATCAGCTTCACTACTTCCTACCTACAAAGCATTGCAATCTCAGCATCTTGAACCCTTCTCAGCCTGGTAGATGATGGAATACCTCAAGCTGAAACAGGTATTGGAGAAACCCATCGCGTCGTGAACAGTCACCAATACGAACAGTTACCAATACCTTTCTCTCGCGATATTGGAGAATCTTCGGCGTTTAGATTAGGGGTTTGGACCACAACAAATAGAAGGAAAGGTTAAGGCAATTCTCAAGCTCCATGTGGAAACTGGAGAAACCTGTCCTGACCACAACTGGGACAAAGTGTTGCCTTCAAATGGGAACACCATAACCAAAATCCAGAGCCTCAAGTCTTGTTTTGTTAAATTACTTGGCAAGACTGAAAAAACATCACAGTAAAGGATATTGTTCATTTACAGCTCAGCCAGATCTTGAGAGGCGATAGTCTTCACTTTACTAATCAATCTCGTCCATTTCAAAAGGATGTCCTTCATTGTACAGGCAGCAACTTGTACCCTTAAGGAAACAAACGGATTGCCTTCTGTCTTCCACCTCAGTATACTGCCGGGCATATAGATAATGCAGGTTGTCCATAAAAAAGACTGAGAATCTCATCTAAAGTAGCTGATGGCCACTTTTTGATTGATTGACACACAGGCATCGCTAGTAACATGACAAGACGTACAATTGCAGAAAAGACTTGGTTTCTATATAGCAAGTAATGGCCACATTTGTTGAAGGTTCCACATCTGGTTACAGTCAGGTTGTGTAACTGATTCCTCATCCTATATTTTATGATCTTACTGCTATGCAAGATACTGCTAGGATGAGACAGTTTCAACAAGACCTTTAACGAAACTTTCAACTGTCGAGGAAAGGCTCTGTAGCCCTGCCCCACCTCCACCACTGTTACACAAGCCATACTTTCAAAGTCCTCTTCTCAGCACACCCACAGGCAGGAATCAATGCAGTGAGAGAACCGTTATTAACATAGTGTTTACAGGCAGCAAATTTACACTTACTATGAGTCACATACTGCTCTTGGTTTGATGTCTGAAGCCACCTGTGATATGAGCTATGGACTGACACCCCTGTTGGATTCTGAGCTCAAGGCTGCGGAAAGCAGTCAGGGAACGCAAACCAGAACTCCAAGCTGCACCAAAGCAATCCATCCCTGCCACCATTTCTGACCCTCATAAAGCTGGAAGGCTTCTAAAGCCATGCCAGAGCAAGTCTGAGAATGAAAGCCAGCCTATAGGTGCATGTACTGGACACAGTCCATAGGGGTCAGCCGGGGGGCTAGAAACTGCCTGTATCAAACAGGTCTCACTGTAGTCAAAATAGGTTGGTTGACTGCAGATTTCTAAAATGAGCAATCACGGCTAACAAACAGCTGAAGCTCCCCTAGGCTCCTTCTGGAGCACCTTCTTTGTAACACACCATCGGGGACTCAGACCTCATGTCAGCCCTGGCCCTCTGAAATGACACCTCCCATAAACAGAGGCCCTGCTGCTGCAGAACAGCTGCTCTCCTCCCCTCCCTTCCCCCAAACTAGTTTTTTTGGGAGTATGGATTTCTCCACCACTCCACTTCAGCCCTTTTTGCTTTCTGTGGCCTAAGTATCAGGAAACCACAGCTCTAACTAGTACTTAGAGAAGCAAAAGCAACAATCTCCATGCCCTACAATTGTTGTGCAGTTACCATGCGTTTCCTCAGGGCCGGTAAGAAATCTACCCCTTCCTCCCTGCTGTGGCCTTTTATGCATTTCTGTAAAGCAGGGAAAAGCAAGGTTGCCATTCTCAAAGTTATCCTTGCCTTTCTGCTACGATGCTGTGAATGGTCTGCCAAAGAAAAACAGATGCTGCTCCCCAGGGTGATGTCCTCTCCCCTTTTGAGTCGATGCTGCTTCAACCCTTACCCCATGAGGAAGGGAGATCAGTTACTGCTTAACTGATAGCCAATTACTCTGGTTACTGCTGCAAGTTCTCTCACTATCTGCCTCCACTTACTCTTGGCACACTGCTTTTGTTCTAAAGAATGGCTAAATGGTTTAGAAAACGCTGAGGGAAACGGACCCTTGCAGCAGTAAGTGCAGGAACACCAGTCTCTGCCAAGCTGGCAGCTCTGCAGCGTTGCAGGTAGACCTGTTCAGCAGCACCAATAACACATGCTTACTGAAAATGGAACCTTTTCAGACATACCTCACGGGAAATCCCACTGCATTTACAGCTTCAGAATGGCTCATACAATCAGTTTATATATCTGTGATCTCTAAGTGTTGAACACGAATAGAAGTTGTGGTCCCTCCAGCATTCTCTGTTAGCTTTCTTTAAAGCATCAAAACCTCACATCCAGCATCTTCCACAAAGCTTTTTAACAGAAAGGCTCCAGGACATCAGGCAGCCTTCTAGGAAGCGACAGAAAAAAAATTGACAGGAACAGACTGGAGTGTACTATTCACATATGAAAAGTTTAAACCAACAATAGCTATTTGACTGAGATGCTGTGATTGTGGAGCCTGAAGAACAACGGTTAGGGGTGTGGTGCGGTGGTGTTCTTTTGGTGTGGGTTGTTGTTTTGGTTGTTTTTTTTTTTTTTTAAACCTTGCGGAAGACTGAAAAACAACACTTGGAACTTGCACTCCTTTTAAAGAAAGACCCTTATAAGAGAGTTAATTTTTTACACTTAAATACAAAGCAGCTTTCTAATTTTATATAATCAAGAAATGGAAAACAATTTTTATTAACATGTTTTACATTTACAATCTTTTATTAGCTAATCAACATCAACATGCAAAAATAAGCGCTAAATACAAACCTCTACAATATGGTTTTGTTTAAACTACAATGGTTTAATTCTTTTGAAAAGTCATAAGGATGTGTTCTGTAGTTGTTAAAATTGAACTATTAGTTTCAGTAATGAGTACTATTTAGACCCTAAAATTATGTAATCATCCTGCAAGGCATCTTCAGAAACTTTGCCCAACACTTAAGAATACCAGCTCATTTTCATGTGAGTACATTCTCAAAGCAAGAAATAAGGCAGTAGCACTAATGATTTCATATTGAACCCTATGCACATAACTAATAACTTTAGAAGGACTTTAACACTATGGTAGACTGGAAAAAGAACATTTAAACAAGCATTGGATTTTGCCTGAAATGTTCCCAGTTCCTCTTGATACTTATGCAACCTCCTTAAAATATTTGGGTTTGGAAAAAGACTTCATACTCCTTCAAACCAGTCCCTAGTTGATCCTCCAGAGAAGCCAGTCTTGTGTCAAAGACATCAGTATCTTCCCATGGAAATAAGTTACATAATTCATGTTCAGGATTACTTCAAGAGAGGATCATAAAGAAGGCAAAGAGGAGCTTAAAGGAGAACACACTGGTAGTACTGAAATCTTTGATAACAAAAGGGTCTTGGACAATTGTGAAAAAGAGGGAAGAAAAATGGATTTAATTTCAAATCTGTTGTAACTTTTCCCTCAGTGCAAGTGTCCATCTTTAAAGAAAGTTATCCTTTAGAAGATGAAAGTACTTTTGAGAAGAGTCCAATTTTTGACCTTATGTTACAAAACCTTAACAATCAAAATTTGTTTTTGTTTTTATTCAAGTACAAACTTAAGTCATAATTCCTCTCTCTTTTTTTTTTTTCTTTAAAGAGTGTTTATTGTTGCTCATTGATCTTTGGTCGCAAGAAACAATAATGCCACCGACAGGTCTGATCCCCAAGGTGGCAGGTTTTGCTTCTTTGCCACACATTAAGGCCCCCCCCTGTACAGGGTATGCCAATATACACTGTGTCAAAATTCCAGCGGCACTTCATCATGTGTTTTATGGACCTACATGATGTAGACTTTCTCAGCTTGTGAGAAGTTGAAGACTTCTTTGGTTCTTGGGCAAATTACTTTGTCATCTTGACGAATAGAAAGCAGAGACTGAAAAAGAGTGAAATCAAAAGATAATATTCACAATAGTAACTCAAAGCTTTATTTAACTGTTTAGTAAATAAACTTTTTTTATTAAAAAAAAAGATGTTATAGTCTGAGGTCAAAATATCTTTGCCCACAGAAGTTACTTATTCTACGTTATTGCTCTCCAGAGGGAAAGATTTCCAATACCATTTGATTTCACATTATAAATTCATATATTCAGACATTACCTTCTTTAAAGACCAATTTAATCACATAAATATACAGTCCTTTAAAAATTACTGCAAGAAGTTACTTTTCTTCTGTTAATATAAAAGAGATTTCTAGCTTCTGACTGAGTTTATAAGCTCTTATTTTGATATAGAAAGTTATTACACTCGCTGATATTTTAGACTTCAGTAAGTCATTGATTTCAACACTTACATTGTATCCATAGACATATCCATTTGGTAACATCATAGGAGGATTATTTTCGTTCATTACATCCCCCGAAATCTTGCAGACTAGTCGGGAGTTGGCACAATGTGCCATAGGCAGAGGCTGAGCCAGCTTGTTCAGGGATTTGCTACACACAGGGCAGTCTGGGTTTTTTGAGCTCCCATCCTCTTTATAACACTGTCTGTTTAACAGAAAGTTAAGAAACAACCACCACAGAAGGCAAAAACAACTATTTGATGACATACATTGGAAAAAAAAGATAGTAAACTCTGCAAATACAGCCTAGGTTATAGAGCGTACAGGACCATTTAATTCAAGTTTGACATGTAGATGTAAGAATCAAGTGCTTGCTTTGTTTCAAGGAACGAGAGTGAGCAACAAGTGTCTGGCACCCTCTACAGGTAAAGTTTCTGATGTAGAACACTTAAGTGGCACCAGTCCTTCTCTAACACACCATAGCAAGTAGCAAATCCAACTAAGTTTCAAAAGATGCAGGATATATTTGAATATTCACATAAAAACAGAGAGGGTAAATCTGCGTGTGAGTGCTTAAAAAAAAAATTCTGACCCAGCTCACTAACTTTTGCAGATATATTCAACTAACTTAAGACACATGGAAAGATAGCCTAGTATGCAAACACAATGCAGATTTCACCTTAAAATTTTGGTTTGGGCTTGTGTTGGTTTTTGTTGTTTTTTTTTTTAAACCATAGTGCCATTTATTATAATCTCTCCTTAATTTAACAGAGAGACCAATTCAAACTCCATTTAAACAACTCATGAGCAAAACTATTCAAGTGTCACATTTCCTCTTTGAGCTCTCTGAAAAGCACACATAGAACGAAAAAAACCCACAATGCTTTTTTGCACTCGACAGTAGTATCTGCATTAAAGGATACGGTGTTTTTATAGCTGAAAGGCCTGCCTGGAGTGTTATAGTAAAAACAGAATTGTTTCCCAGCTGATGTAGTCTGTAGTTATCATATCTAAACTGTTGGATCAGCATTCTCCATCGAGCAGGGTCCAAGAGATCCTGTTAAAAAACAACACAACTATAAGTTGTTCTCAATCTAATTGCACTTTGTGGGGAAAAGCCTGGGAGTGGTAAATTGTGCAAAACTCACTAGACTGAATCCATCACAAAACAAAAGTATACATGCTAATGTATAGTATGAATGTACTTGTTTAGAAAGTACCTTTTAATACTACTTCACTAGAAATATGATTTAAATCAAGTATTACTTAAAATAGCTGGCATAACAATATTTAATCTCCCTCCGTCATCTACCAAGTGTTCTAATTAAGGTATGTAAATCCTGGTAAGGCTATTTCTTGCATTTAGTTTTCTAGAATGCTGACCTACTTATGAAGCAACATTAGTATTGTGGAATATTTGCTCTATAGCCTCTGAACCTTTAACATCGAAAAAGTCAGAAGTGTTTTTTACCTCAAGTCAGGCTAATTCTGCTGATACCTCTTTGTAATATATAATGTTTACAGTATTTTGGAAAAAGGTTTTAATTTGAAGAGCTGGCACAACCCCAGGTTAGAGAAAGCTTGGGTAAGCTTTGCATTTAAGGACAAAATTAAGTGCAAATTAAGTGCCGGGTCCTGCACTTCGGCCACAACAACCCCATACAGCACTACAGGCTTGGGGAAGAGTGGCTGGAAAGCTGCCTG